TTATTTACAATGTACACTTCATATTTACCTTTTGCAAGTGGAAAAGAGCATGCTGATGTTCAATGAAAAACTTTATTTACAATGTACACTACATATTTGCCTTCTGCAAGTGGAAAAGAGCATGCTAATGTTCAATGAAAAACTTTATTTACAATTTACAATGCATGCTGTTTTCCTTTATGAGTGCAAAGTAATTTTTGTGATAAGACTAAAAATACTTTTCTTCATTTGAAAATTTTCCATTATCATTTTCATAACCCCTAAACCTCCTAAATAAATAGCAAATGTTTTATTTTCGTTGTTTTTTTCGGAAAAACTTTATATTTTATCTTTTATTTTCTTTATCCTAACTCAATATGAGGTCAGTTGATTTGACTGACCTCATAACTACCATAACAAATTGGGAAATAATTATAAATTTCCCCTATTTGCTTTCTGAAATGACTGTAAATTGTAACAGTATACATTTAATTATACTTAGTTTATTGTTTTATTGCCCTTTGAACTATGTCTAACTACTATTCATGCCATATAAATTGCAAATCACCTGGCGAACATGCAGCTCATGTTACGGTATCAAATTGCGTAACTCTCGGACTACTCGCCGTACCTGATAGAAAATCATTATTAATATTATTATTAATTTTACTTTATCTAACCTAAAAAAAGTTTTCAATTTTTACATTTTAGATACTTTTATAACAAAGAATACACAAGAAAAGCAAGAAATAAAGTACTTTCTCTGTTTTGTTTTGTTTTTTCTTAAATGTCAATGAAACTTAACCCTATTTTTTAATACAAATTGTACTACAGCATTAAATAATTTCTATTTAATTAAATATTGTACCAAAGAACATAGAATAATAACATGCAAAGAAGAAACATTGTTGCATAACTATCACAATTTTTCTGGCTTTCTAACTGTGTAACAAAATCCATTAAAAATTCAGTTAAACTTGTTGATTTATTTCCCATGGGAATAAAGTTTGACTGTGTAGAAGGAAAATAGATAACAATGCAGTATAATACATCATTTGATAGAGAAAAACATTGGCTTTCTATAGGTTATGAATAATCTAGTCTTAAGTGTCAGAGAGAACTATATGCAAGTTCTGAAAGAGAGAATATGACAGGTGGGCATGGCAAGAGGTGGGGTTTGGTTTTCTATTTTATTGTTCTGTAACTAAATAAAATTGAAGGCTATGTAAATATTATAATGAGTAACTTGCATTAAAGTTTGTTCTTTTTGGTGAGGTGATAAAAAATATTAGAGAAGAGGGAAGACTTAGATAACAAATGTCACAGTTCTCTTACTAGGAGAGATTGAGAATTTTCTCTAAATATATCATTATAAAATTAGGAACTTAAAACTCAAATAATACTAAACTTTGATTTATTATCTATGTTCTGAAGCCAAGTTTATTCATAGAAATTGATAATAAAGTAGTTTCATTAAAGTTTGAATGTAACTCTGTAAAGGATTGTGACCTGCACACTTTGGCCTATCCGTGGTGAAAGGGTTAATCATGTTATTTTACCATGGCTTTATTTTTATGCAATGTATTGTCATTGATGAAACCTGTTAGAAGTTGATTGTGGACAGCTGTGTGAAAACTGTATGCTGTTTAGTTTGTTATGGTACAAAGTTTAAAGCAAAGTACTTGTGCTTGCCTTGCATATTGGGTGGTTTTGCAGTGTGTATTCAGTACCTGGGGGGTCAAATTTCATACAACAAGACAAATTCTCGTGTGTACGGTACCTAGGAGTTTCGGTTAACTAGAACTTTGTAGAACTAAACCCTTAAGTTAGGAAAACAATTAGGGGAGAAGGATTTAGTTGAGGAGAAGCTTCTTCCTCTCCATTTTAAAGAAAACCACAACACATGGGTCCACAACTAAGATTTTTGAACACAATCTATCTTTGATCATTTCAAGAATCCTCATGATATTATTCTTTCTCTTTTCCATCCCATAGAGATATATCAAAAACAAGTTCATCTTATCTTTATTTCTATTAAAAATTGTTTCGTGTTTATTGAACAGGTTTTGGAGCCTCTTTAACTCTTACTGAGAAAATAGAACTAGATGCACTTATTATGGAAGGAACACGAATGAAAGCAGGTGCAGTAGCAGGAGTTTCCAAGGTAGCCAATCCTGTAACTCTCTCACGTCATATTATGGAAAAGGTTTGTAAAAATTACCCTGATCTCTATAAAGTAATATTAGGTAACATTTTAGTGGTCAGTTCTTAAAGTTTAGAGTGTGTGTGTTTTATTTTGGGAACTATATTCAGAATATATATTCCTTTTATGAGTTGTACAGCACTAAAATATTTTCATTAGAAACGAAAATCACTCCTTGTACGGAACAAACAAATATTCAAGGTATGTTGTTAGTCTAATAATTTAAATAATCCATTATGATATTCGAATTTATAATTATTTTTTTGATAAAATCTTCTTGTGCAATTACCTTGCTGAAACATTAAAAAAAAATTTCTGTTTGTTCTCAGAATCATTTGAGAATTTGATTCAGATGTCCATATAAGCTGGAGGATTGGACAAATTGATGTCAGCAACCTGTTTGAATTCTTCAAAAATATGGAAATTGTGACTTTACATTAGTGTCATAGTTTAAATGTATGAGCTATAGAAGCCTAGAAGCAAGCTTTGTTTTAGATATTATCGCTTCTCTTATAATTTTCTAACTAAACAAGTCTAAGAGCTTTTGGTAGCTAAGCTATGTTCTTCATGTAGAAATTCGAAAGAAGTGAAAAATGTGAACTGAGAAAGTTAATTGTTTTTCAGTAGCATCATTGATGGTTTGTATGTTTCCTTGAAAACATGGGAGTGCTTGTATTTGAAGAGAAATGTTACAGATGAGACAGTTATTTCCTGTGTAAAGATTATAGAACAAAAGATGTGTATTCTAAACATTGAACTAATAAGATTGGGAAGTTAGAGACAAATTGTTTAAAAGAAAATAGTATAGGATATCAACATTAAAAAAGAACTACAATGAAACATATGCTATATAAGGCATGTTAATACTTTCCTTATGGATAATTTAAGTTAAAGATAAGATGGAGAGCAGATGTTTTTCACCTAAAAATTAAGAAAAAAGCAACAAATATTACCTAGTGTGTTTATATATATATGTACATATGTATATACATATATACAACCACTTGGGGGTAAGTAAGATAAACTTATTGAGGTTGGCATTACAGCCCCCATTATAATAGTAAATCATTAATTTAACTTAATTAGTAGTACAGTAGTTAAATTATACTAGTACAAAGTTATAAAAGCCCAACCAAGTGATCTGAACTAACTAGCATAACATCCAGCCACCACCCATTAGTTCACTGTAGCTATCAATTTTCAGACTTACGTGAGCCTTTATATTTGATAAGGTGTTCATCCATGTATAAGTAGTGCCAAGTTTTTAACTGACTTTATTGAAACCTAAAAATACTTTTTGGAAACTTTCAGCAAAAACTCCTTAATTTTTACTTCTTTATATTGTTAATACATTTTTATATTTATCACAAAATATTTTAATAACTTTATTTAGAGTTTCTTTATTATTTCCATTGAATATTAATTTTTGCATCAATATTTCAACATAAATAATGAAATATTGTACTTTACTACAAATTTTATAAAATCTGAATAGTTTTGATGCTATAATACTTTAAAAAATGGTAAGCCATATATAAGAAAAGAAATATTTTCTTTTATCAAAATATTTAGATTGATATCATTATCAATTATTTTTATATCT